CCTTATTCGTCTAAGGGTCCGGACCAAAGCATATTCGTTTCGCTTAAGCAATCGAGCGCCTGGGAGATTTCAGAGTGAAAAAAAACGCTTCCCTTGGACAAAACATCAGGGGAACGGGAATCGAAGCGGCAAAAAACTCAAGGGGCTTCTTCAAAATCGAGGGGAAGAAGAGGATGTCCAAGAATTTCAAGGGAATCAGGCCGAAACTCAAGAGACTCCAGCCGAGTTTGAGGGTATTTTTTCCTTTTCTTCAGGAGAAACAAGTCGGAGGATGTTTTTCATGCGAAGATTGTTGATACTTAACGAATATGCCACAGAGGCCACTTAAGATTTGAAAAGGCCCCTTGCATTCTTTTAAAACCCTTGAAAATTGCAAAGAAACAAATATACCGTAATATACCTATTCTTTTAACGTTTCAGGCCAAAACGTGTGCATGAACCTTCTTTGTTTGAGGCTTTGCGCCGGACACTGAGGTCTATGAATTCGAGATTCCTAAACCACGCACTTGGGCACGACGAGGTTGCGGGAGAAGGGGGGAGGGGCGCGAGCCTTATGGCTGAAGCTTGTTCGTTTAATGCTTAAGCCTAACCCTATTCCTAAACCTTATTCGTCTAAGGGTCCGGACCAAAGCATATTCGTTTCGCTTAAGCATCGAGCGCCTGGGAGATTTCAGAGTGAAAAAAAAAACGCTTCCCTTGGACAAAACATCAGGGGAACGGGAATCGAAGCGGCAAAAAACTCAAGGGGCTTCTTCAAAATCGAGGGGAAAAAGAGGATGTCCAAGAATTTCAAGGGAATCAGGCCGAAACTCAAGAGACTCCAGCCGAGTTTGAGGGTGTTTTTTCCGTTTCTTCAGGGGAAACAAGTCGGAGGATTTTTTTCATGCGAAGATTGTTGATACTTAACGAATATGCCACAGAGGCCACTTAAGATTTAAAAAGGCCCCTTGCATTCTTTAAAAACCCTTGAAAATTGCAAAGAAACAAATATTCTGGGGAAGGACTCGGAAGGACGCTGTCCATTCCAATTTGTTTGTTCCTAAACCTATTCTTTTAACGTTGCAGGCCAAAACGTGTGCATGAACCTTCTTTGTTTGAGGTTTTGCGCCGGACACTGAGGTCTATGAATTCGAGATTCCTAAACCACGCACTTGGGCACGACGAGATTGCGGGAGAGGGGGGGAGGGGCGCGAGCCTTATGGCTGAAGCTTGTTCGTTTAATGCTTAAGCCTAACCCTATTCCTAAACCTTATTCGTCTAAGGGTCCGGACCAAAGCATATTCGTTTCGCTTAAGCACTCGAGCACCTGGGAGATTCCAGGGTGAAAACAACGCTTCCCTTGGACAAAACATCAGGGGAACGGGAAGGAAAAAAGATGATGTCCAAGAATTTCAAGGGAGTCAGGCCTAAACTCAAGGGACTCCAGCCGAATTTGAGGGTATTTTTCCCTTTCTTTTCAGGAGAAACAACTCGGAGGATTTTTTCACGCGAAGATTGTTGATACTTAACCGATATGCCGCAGAGGCCCCTTAAGATTTGAAAAGGCCCCTTGCATTCTTTTAAAACCCTTGAAAATTGCAAAGAAACAAGTATTCTGGGTAAGGACTCGGAAGGACACTGTCCTCATCAATTTGTAAAATCTCTTACTACCCTTAAAAACTTAACAAAAACCTCTTGCTTTCAAAATTGATTTAACGGGCATCTCCACCCGAATTTGAATCGTTTAAATAATTTGAATAACTGGGCTCCCCAGGATTCAAATTCTGTAAATTATTTGAATTTTTACATAAATTCCCTCTAATTCAAATAATTTAAATAACTGTGTTCCCCACATATATAATTTCTTTAAATTTTATAAATTGTGCCTCCCTCTCCAAGGCCCTCCCCACGACTTAAAATATTTAATTTTTAATTATTCAGTTTCCACCCGAGTTTAAAGAACTTAAATAATTTAGATAGGTTGAATATCTTGAATAGTTTACATCCTGGGGGGGGGGGGGAAAGGTCGTCCCAGGATTCCACGCAGGGCTGTATTCTTACAAAAACCGTGGCGCGTAGATCCAGGCAGATTTTGTCCGTCGTTTTTTTGAGAAAACACCAAAGACAAAAATATGCCTGGATCTATTTGAAAAAACACCATGGACAAAATCTGCCTGGATCTACGCGGCGCTGTTTCTTACAAAAAAGTGGCGCGCAGACCCAGGCAGATTATGTCCTTCGTGTTTTTTGAGAAAACACCATGGACAAAATCTGCCTGGATCTACGCGGGGCTGTTTCTTACAACAAAAGTGGGGCGTAGATCAAATTCCTAAATTCATAATTCCAGCGGGCCGGAAACCCAGAAGAATTAGAACTTCTGAAATTCCTTGAATTCCTTAAATTTCTAAATTCCTAATTCCCGGGACTTAGGAATTTAGGAATTTAGGAATTTCGGCTGAAGGCTAAAATTCCTAAATTCCTAAATTCCTAATTTCCGGGAATTAGGAATTTAGGCATTTAAGGAATTCAAGGAATTTCAGAAGTTCTAATTCCTCTGGGTTTCCGGCCCGCTGGAATTAGCAATGGAATTTAGGAATTTCAGCTACAGCCCAAAACTCTTAAATTTCTAAATTCCTAATTCCCGGGAATTAGGAATTTAGGAATTTAGGAATTTCGGCTACAGGCCAAAACTCCTAAATTCCTAAATTCCTAATTCCAGCGGGCCGGAAACCCAGAGGAATTAGAACTTCTGAAATTCCTTGAATTCCTTAAATTCCTAAACTCCCAATTCCCGGAAATTAGGAATTTGGGAATTTAGGAATTTAGGAATTTCGGCTACAGGCCCAAAACTCCTAAATTCCTAAATTCCTAATTCCAGCGGGCCGGAAAGCCAGAAGAATTAGAACTTCGGAAATTCCTTGAATTCCTTAAATTTGTAAATTCCTAATTCCCGGGAATTAGGAATTTAGGAATTTAGGAATTTCGGCTGAAGGCTCAAATTCCTAAATTCCAAAATTCCTAATTTCCGGGAATTAGGAATTTAGGAATTTAAGGAATTCAAGGAATTTCAGAAGTTCTAATTCCTCTGGGTTTCCGGCCCGCTGGAATTAGCAATATTAGGAATTTAGGAATTTCAGCTACAGCCCAAAACTCTTAAATTTCTAAATTCCTAATTCCCGGGAATTAGGAATTTAGGAATTTAGCAATTTCGGCTACAGGCCAAAACTCCTAAATTCCTAAATTCCTAATTCCAGCGGGCCGGAAACCCAGAGGAATTAGAACTTCTGAAATTCCTTGAATTCCTTAAATTCCTAAATTCCTAATTCCAGCGGGCCGGAAACCCAGAAGAATTAGAACTTCTGAAATTCCTTGAATTCCTTAAATTCCTAAATTCCTAATTCCCGGGAATTAGGAATTTAGGAATTTAGGGAATTTCGGCTACAGGCCCAAAACTCCTAAATTCCTAAATTCCTACTTCCAGCGGGCCGGAAACCCAGAAGAATTAGAACTTCTGAAATTCCTTGAGTTCCTTAAATTTCTAAATTCCTAATTCCCGGGAATTAGGAATTTGAGAATTTAGGAATTTCGGCTCAAGGCCAAAACTCGTAAATTCCTAAATTCCTAATTCCCGGGAATTAGGAATTTAGGAATTTAAGGAATTCAAGGAATTTCAGAAGTTCTAATTCCTTTGGGTTTCCGGCCCGCTGGAAGTAGGAATTTAGGAATTTAGGAGTTTTGGCCTGTAGCCGAAATTCCTAAATTCCTAATTCCCGGGAATTAGGAATTTAGGAATTTAAGGAATTCAAGGAATTTTAGAAGTTCTAATTCCTCTGGGTTTCCGGCCCGCTGGAATTAGGAATTTAGGAATTTATGATTTTCGGCCTTTAGCCGAAACTCCTAAATTCCTAAATTCCTAAATTCCTAATTTCCGGGAATTAGGAATTTAGGAATTTAAGGAATTCAAAGAATTTCAGAAGTTCTAATTCCTCTGGGTTTCTGGCCCGCTTTCCTTGAATTCTTAAATTCCTAATTCCCGGGAATTAGGAATTTAGGGATTTAGGAATTTCGGCTCAAGGCCAAAACTCCTAAATTCCTAATTTCCGAATTTCCGGGAATTAGGAATTTAGGAATTCAAGGAATTCAAGGAATTTCAGAAGTTCTAATTCCTCTGGGTTTCTGGCCCGCTGGAATTAAGAATTTAGGAATTTAAGAATTTCGGCTACAGGCCAAAACTCCTAAATTCCTAAATTCCTAATTCCCGGAAATTAGGAATTTAGGAATTTAGGAATTTCGGCTACAGCCCAAAACTCCTAAATTCCTAAATTCCTAATTCCAGCGGGCCGGAAACCCAGAGGAATTAGAACTTCTGAAATTCCTTGAATTCCTTAAATTCCTAAATTCCTAATTCCCGGGAATTAGGAATTTAGGAATTTTGGCTCAAGGCCAAAACTCCCAAATTTCTAATTCCCGGGAATTAGGAATTTAGAAATTTAAGGAATTCAAGGAATTTCAGAAGTTCTAATTCCTCTGGGTTTCTGGCCCGCTGGAATTAGGAATTGAGGAATTTAGGAGTTTTTGCCTTCAGCCGAAATTCCTAAATTCCTAATTCCCGGGAACTAGGAATTGAGGAATTTAGGAATTCAGGCCTTCAGCCGAAATTCTAAATTCCTCAATTCCTAATTCCGGGGAATCAGGAATTTAGGAATTTAGGAATTCGGGCCTTAAGCCGAAACTCCTAAATTCATTAATTCCTAATTTCAAGGAATTAGTAATTTAGGAGTTTCGGCTTAAGGCCTGAATTCCTAAATTTCTAATTCTTCATATTGGAGTAAGGAGGCAAGGACAAAGGTCAAATGATACGTAAAGGTTCCTCTTACATATATATATACACACATATCTATATATATATATACATATCTATATATATATGTATACAGACACACACACACACACACTCCTTATATACCCAAAATAACCCAAGGGTCCACACATCAGAACCCTCTAAAGAGGGCAAGGGACCATCAAACTCTGGTCAGCAGCCGAGCTGCTAGGTTTGTGCGCTCGCCGCTCAGGATGTGCTCAGCTGCATGGACCTGCAAACACAACCCAAACACGGGTTTAGGGTTTAGGGTTTAGGGTTTTAGGGTTTAGGGTTTTAGGGTTTAGGGTTTAGGGTTTAGGGTTTAGGGTTTAGGGTTTAGGGTTTAGGGTTTAGGGTTTAGGGTTTAGGGTTTAGGTCTAGACCCAGGAGTAACCTAGGAATCAAAAGGGTGCCCTTTTTTGGTTTTAAGGGGATTATAAGGGAACCCCGATCCAAAAAAAGGAAATAAGGGCGTACTCCGGGTCCTGGAACACTAAGCCCGTCCTGTACGACAAAAAAGGCAGGAGATGGTTCCGCACCAGCAGCTTCTACAGGGCCGGAATCATTGGTCTCTCTCTCTCTCTCGCTCTCGCTTTCTCTCTCTCTGTCTCTCTCTCTCCTCTCTTTTCACTACTATTTGGGTGGCTGTCAAAATTAGGGTCCCTTTTTGGATCCCTGCTATGATACGGCGCCTAATATTTGGGGTACTCCAACAGTGACCATAATTTTGACAACCACCCATTTACAAAACATTGAAAGATCATAATCCCCATAGTGCCAAATAGAAGGAAGAATATTTTTCATGTCACCCTAAACCCTAAACCCCAAACCCTAAACCCTCAACAGGAAAACAAGTGGTTCTTCTCCCCCTCCCAGCTACCTCGAAAATGCTACAGTGTTCTACAAGGCATGACGGTTTTAGGGTGTAGGGTTTTAGGGGTTTAGGGGTTTAGGGTTTCGGCGTTTAGGGGTTTTAGGGTATCCAGGCCCCCTTTCCTTTGCGCTAACTCTGGGCCTTGCCGCTTCGCCTCTCTCCCCCAGCCTCAAGCACAACCCACCCCCAAAAGCCCTACTTGGAGGTTCATGGTACTTAGTAACTAATTATAGCTGTACTTATAACCCACTTATAAGCCCCATAAGTGCCTTAATAGGGTTATAAGTTATACGTACAGTTATAAGCACCATGAACCTCCAAGTATACCTTAAGAACCCCTAACACCCACTTGTTTTGTAGGACGCCTCAGAATCCTGTGAGGGGCTTGTCGTAACAGCCTACAAAAACAAACCCAAGAGTAACCTAGGAATAAGAAGGGTGCCCTTTTTGGCTTCAAGGGGCCTATACGGGACCCCAAACCCTAGACAAGGGGGAATAAGCTCTTCTGGGTCCTGGACAATGCTTGGAGATTCATGGTACTTAATAGCCAATTACAACTGTACATAGAACTGTGCTTATAACCCTATTAGGGCACTTAAGGGGCTTATAAGTGGGTTGTAAGTACAGTCATAAGTAGCTACTAAGTACCTTAGCTTTGGAGTAGACCCGGGAAAAAAAGTATATACTTTTTAGGTATAAGTAGCTAGTATAGGAACCCAGAACCAAAAAAAGTATTAAAGTGTAGTACTCCAAAACCAAGGTACCATGAACCTCCACGTAAGTTTTGGGCTTCTTAAGGTCGACCCTCGAAACTCAGGGCTGCCTGGCGACCGAGGTGCAGCACTGCCCAGCCTGCACCTGGATGCAAGGGCTGCGGTTTAGGGCTTTTTTAAAAGATTTTTTTAGGTTGTTTTTTTTTCCGGGCTTTTGGGGATTTTTAGGGGTTTTGGCTTTTAGGGTTTTTTCGGGCTGAAGCTTAACAAATTGGACCGTCTTCCGTGTGCCCTCCCCCACCTCCCCCACCCCCCGGAATCATCGGAAAGCTCATGTGGAAGCTCTTTCCTGGTAGGTTTGGGGACCCTGTAAACATTAAATTTTATTGCTAAGGATTATGTACGGGATTTAGAGCTGACAAACAAAAATAAGAATTAAGCTCAAACCTACCCCTGTGTCAACTGCCCCTTAGTTATAGGGGGCTATAGCACACTACACCCAAAACAGTACTACCCTAAACCAAAAATCCTGAGCCCTAAGCCCAAGTTTATTAGGGTTTAGGGTGTTATTGTATAGGGTCTATAGGGTTTCTGGGGTTTAATGGGGGTTATGGTTATGGGGGTTATGGGGACTATAGAGTTTACGGTCTCGGGGCCTCCCTCTGCAGAAGGCTTTTGTGGCTGCTGAGGTCTGCGTAAATGTAGTACTTTTTGGTGACGTGAATTATAACCCCCTTCTAACCAGCTCAAGAAGAGGAACTACCTTGCAGCCTTAGAAGAAATGTCCTGACAAAAGCGCACGCTGGGCGCCATACGCAGCTAGAGGATAAGACACGAACCCCCAAACCTACGTTTTTTGCAGACTTTTGACTATAAACCACCTTATAGTGGTCTTAGGTAACCCTTCAGATCAAGTAGGATCTGGGTTCTTAGGCAAGATAACGTGAGATACCCTAAACCCTAAACCCTAAACCCTAAACCCTAAACCCTAAACCCTAAACCCTAAACCCTAAACCCTAAACCCTAAACCCTCGCTTTTGGAGTCTCCCAGCCTGGGAAGGCATGGCTGATTTGATGCCGGTGGACATCCGGCTCCTGCTGGGAACTAAAGGTTACTTTAAAGACCACTAATCTTGGCTGCACTCAGGAGGGTAGCTAAAAATTAAACTTTTAGCTACCTTAATAAGAAACCCAATAAACCCAAAAAAGGTAAGGATCTAAAGTTACAGTAAAGTACCACAAAGTAAAATCTTAAAGGGATCCTAGCAGAAGTCAAGGTTGACCTTTGGGATAAAAAAAAGGGAATATAAGGTTAACCTTTGGGATAAAAGAAAAAAAGGAATATAAGACCACTTAAAGGTGCAATGTTACCTACTCTACTACGAAGGTTAACCTTTGGGATTGCAGAGAGATGATCTTAAACACCAAACAGGTTTTGTAAAGCGCGACGTTTGCAAAGCCTGGCCCCCGGCGTATTTCGTGAGACATGTGACCAAGTAAAGATTCAAACGTCGGGCGGAAAGCCCTGGGGCCGCGGCCTAGGTGGATTAGGGTTTAGGGTTTAGGGTCTAGGGTTTAGGGTGGATTCGATAGTTGCCGCGTCCTGCATAAGGCCGCAGAAGATCAGGCGGCAGCCTTCCCAGCTTCGGCCCAGCGCCAAGTTGAAGGTCACCTTCCGGGCTCAGGGGTTTAGGGTTTAGGGTTTATAGGGTTATAGGGTTTAGGGTTTAGGGTTTAGGGTTTATAGGGTTTAGGGTTTCGGGTGATTCCAGCAAATGGCAGCGATCGAAGAGCCCTGAAAGAGAAGCACCGGGCACAATGGAATATGCCCAGGAACTCAGCTGCGGAGATCGCGAATCCAGAAAGCCGGAGCTTTTGGCAAACGGCCCGGTTTAGGGTTTAGGGTTTAGGGTTTAGGGTTTAGGGTTTAGGGTTTAGGGTTTCGGGTTTCGGGGGTTTCGGGTTTCGGGCCGGCGAAGGGACGGCCAGGTGGAAAGCCGCAGCGAGGGCCGGCTGGCCTCTTCCACTCACAGGTAATCCTCTCAAACCCTAAACCCTAAACCCTAAACCCTAAACCCTAAACCCTAAAAGACCTTTCATTCCTTGGTTGCTCTTTAAGCCCCCCAAATACAAGTGTAACTTTTAGCTCCCTTAATATGAAGTTCGAGGAACCCTAAGTTTTTAAAGTGATAAAGTTGCAGTAGAGTCCCACCTAGATTCATGGAGTCAACCTCAGCACGCAGCATGCTGCCTTGGCCGAAATATATCTTCAGAGCCTCCTTGAAGAGCAGACCTTCGACGCCTGAGAGCTCCTCATGGGTTAGGGTTTCGGGTTTAGGGTTTAGGGTTTAGGGTTTAAGGTTTAGGGTTTAGGGTGGTGTGCCTGCTCTTCTGGTTCTGCTTCTTCCTCTTGCATGAGGTGGGCAGGATGCCCTCAAACACCTTCGCCAGTGTTCCGCTGCCTGAAGAAGGCGTCCAGCGGCTTCTTGGGTTTGCTGCAGCACCATTTCTTACCAGCACTGCTTACCTTAGTTCATAAGCCCCAACAAAGTGTACACTTTCAGTTCTAGTATCCCAAAAAGTGTAAAGGTGTACTTACTCTACTAAGTCACAGAACTCCTCCATATCGTCCCTTGCCACGGAAGACAAAACATGCTCGGGGTTCCACAGCCTTTCGGCGCCATTCTTCCACGCAAGCTCGAAATACAGTTACATGTATATGCCTTCTCATCACTATGAAAGGTACCTTGGCTGCGCAAAGCGTAACTGGTCGTCCAGTCGGCTGACGTCTCAGAAAGATCGTCTAATATAGGGGCTGAATAATTAGAACAGGGTTTTGGGGGCTAGTATAATTATAAAGGGACCCTAAGGAAATCATAGTATGTATTCCGAACCCCTAATTAATTATACTATACTACATCAGTGCTTCGAAGGAGACATGGCTCCGGTTTCGACTCGCCTCCGGGCAACATGTGGAAGGGGCTCTTTGCCAACCGAATCCCAGACACAGAAGGGGTTTAGGGTTTAGGGTTTAGGGTTTAGGGTTTAAAAAGCCTAAACGATTCACCCCGCAACCAAAAGCCCTCAAGCCCCCAAAGCCCTAGACTCCTGAACTCTTTTGCATCAACCCCAAAGACCATCCCCCCCCCCCCCCCCCCCCCCCCCCCCCCCCTGCCCACACAAAAAACAAATCGGGCTCTTTTCGGACTACCCCTTGAAAAAGGCTACTAAATTTGATCAAGCCCCGCCCTCCCCCAAACCCTAAACCCTTAACTCGCCCCCCCCCCCCCCCCCCCCCCCCCCCCCCCCCAAAAAAAAAAAAAAGAAAAGGCCCTCCATTGCATGTCGCTCCCCGTCCCAGGACGACCTCGGAGTCGTCGCGGTGAGGGGGGAGGTGGCGGTCGCCGGCCTCCGTGCGGTAGTGGACCTGCATGGAGATTTTCGGTTCAAGCCCTGCATGCTTAACTAGGCGCTTTAGGGTTTAGGGGGTTGAGGAGTATAGGTTTGAGGGGCGGTGGTTTGGTGAGCGCGGGGGGGCGGGCTTGAGGAGGAGAGTGCAGCCTTTCTAGCACGCCTAGGCCACGGCATCCTGCACCTCGATACAGGCATGGGCCCCTGGCCATACTAGTGAGTTACCGGAACTCATAACAACAGGATTCATACTTAGAACCCAATGTAGTACCCTTAGATGGAACTCCACGTATTATGCCTAAGAATTCCCTGAGCCTCCCGTGTAGTAGAATCCCCTGAAGCTAACCCAAAAGCAACTACCTTGGAGCCTTCAGGAAATCCCTATGCTACAGGGGCCTTAATAGTTAGAATAGGGCTTTGGGGATATGACAGTATAATTTTTAAAGGGACCATAATTTGAATACCATTTGTAATTATTACGACCCCTATACTAAGCCTTAAAACCGCGCAGAGGGGCCACAAAGGCGTGGTGGCCATCTAGCTCATCACCGATGCCAGGGAAGAGCGCGCGGGCCAAGGGCAGCAGGACATGCCTGCACGCGGGGATTCTGTTGGCTTTATCGGGTTTGAGTTGTGCTGTAAAACCCTATACCCTAAACCCTTTGAATTACAAACCCATTTGAGGGTTTGTTAAGCCCGAGCCCTTTGTTATTCGGTCCGGATCTTTCTCTGGATTTTCGGCTGTAGGAGCTTCTCTTGTAGTAAGGCTGCGAAGTGTGTGCGGCTGTCTATAAAATTCGGTATCCTGAACCCTTTGCAACAGGCTTTGGGGCTCCGCCTGGTCTTCGGCCCTGTGACCTTGGCACGGGTGGCCAAGATGAACTATATAGATTATTATAAAGGCCTTGATTACAACAGGGTTTTGGGGGGGTTATTATAGTATATTTGTAAAAGGGACCATAAGGGATACTATTCGTAATTCTTCCGACCCCTAGGTTAACTGAAGTCCCGCAGCTCAGGTCACGAAAAGTAACTGCCAAAAAAGTACTGCTCTCAAAGCCAAGAAAACATGAACCCTGCGCGGGATGCTTCAGGTTGCAGCTTGACCCTAAACCCTAAACCCTAAAGCTTTCTTTTCTAAACCCAAAACCCTCAACCCAAACCCTAAACCCAAAACCCTAATCCCTAAACCCTAAACCCTAAACCCCAAACCCCGAGCCCTAAGCCCTAAACCCGAAACCCTAAACCCATGCGCCTCTGAAAGTCAGCCACTGCAAGAGACAGGCCCACCTCCTCGAGCACGGCCCCATAGCGGTTCATGGAGTTGGGCCTGGCTTGGGGTTTAGGGTTTAGGGTTTAGGGTTTAGGGTTCAGGGTTTAGGGCTTTACCTTAAGAGCCCAAAACCTACTTTGGGTTTCGGGTTTAGAGTAAGAACCCGTGCTTTTTGGGGTTTAGGGAGCTGGGCCTGAGGGGTTTGAGGGCTCCCGCTGCTGCATGATCTAAGAGCCGCGCACAGTCCATGCTTCAAAGGAGGCCTTTAAGGGCCCCTACGGCTCTTTGGGTTTAGGGTTTCGGGTTTAGGTTTAGTTTTTAGGGTTTAGGGCTTAAGCCCGAATCCTAAACCTGATGAGGGGCTTCAGGTGTTGGGGCTCTAGATTCTCCCTAACCCTAAACCCTTGAACCTGAAACCCTAAACCCTACACCCTAAACCCTCCCTTTCCCGCTTCATGGCTGGTTGGAGGGTTTTGCCAACCCCCCCCCCCCTGAAAACACTCGCGCACACTACTGGGAGGTTTTAGTTTGCCAGCGTTGTCGGGTTCGGGTGACAAGGCACAAGCCAAGCTGAAGCCTGAAGACACCCTAAACCCTAAACCCTAAACCCTAAGCTTCCCAGGGCCGAACTATACACCCTTTAGAACCTTAAATTGTTCATATCCCCTTGAAATTTTATTTAAAAAAAAACCTCAAAGGGGGCCATAGAAGAACCTGTTCTGCCATCGTGACGCGGTGCACTGTTGATCCACCAAGCGGGCATTGCAGCTCCATCAGGGCCAAGCCGGGCTCGCGAAATGCGAACCCTAAATCCTGAACCCATCCAAACCCAATGTAACATAAAGCCCATCTGAGCCGATCTAATCTTAAACTCAAAACCCATTTAAATCAGATGAGCCCTACAGAACCTAAACCTAAACCTTGCCCTAAACCCTAAACCCTAAACCCTAAACCCAAAACCCAAAACCCTAAACCCTAAACCCTAAACCCTACCTCACTGGCTGGGGGGGGGGGGGGGGGGGCAATGCATGACAGCTGGCCTGGACGACTTCAGGCCGGATGCGTAGAAGGCGTCCAACTCTTCAAGGAAGAGGCGGCAGAAATCCGGCGTCAGCGCAGGGAATGCGTAGACATTCTTGCTTATCTCCTGTAGCTGTGGGAACTGGTGCAGGGGGGGCACTCAAAGCAGGGCTGAGCACTATAGCTTCCTGCCCAACCCTGCGTGGAGAGGCCCTTGAAGAACCCTAAACCCTAAACCCTAAACCCTAAACCCTCTATGAGCCACTTGAGCTTGACTGTGAAAAGCAAACCCATGGCTTCATGGTCCTGTGCATAGGAACCGAAACCCGAAACCCTAAAACCTACAGCCTGTAATTTACAAGAAAACGTGGTGCAACCACGATGCTCTCCTAGTTACCCTCCTTTGGTGTAGACCCTGAAAAAACAAGTACATACTTTTTAGCGATAAGTAGCTATAGTAGGAACCCAGGACCAAAAAGCATTCAAGTATAGTACACCAAAGCCCAGGTCAAGACATTCACCCACACAAAGAAGAATCAGCTTCCTAGGCGTGGTTTTAGGGGGATTATGGGCTTAGGGGTTTAGGCAGCACCCCTCACACTCAGAGCAACAACTCGCTGTCCTAAACTCTACATGGCACTTAGGTGCCTCGCCACCTCCTCCTCTCGTTTAGGGTTTAGGGTTTAGGGTTTAGGGTTTAGGGTTTAGGGTTTAGGGTTTAGGGTTTAGGGTTTAGGGTTTAGGGTTTAGGGTTTAGGACCGACGAACCTGCTTTTAGACCCTATAAACCCTCTAAATGCGTTGTTTTGGGGGTGGCGTTGTGCGAAAGCCTGTCCGCTGCCTTAGAGGCACCATAGCCAACCCTAGAAAGGGCCTTTTTGTAGGGTGGAATACCTGGAGCTTCATGCCTAGTTGTAAGTAGGGTTATAGAAGTATGGTAACTATACTTTATAACCCCATTGAGGGCACTTATTACCCTTTCCCCAAACCCTAAACCCTAAAACACCAAACACGAAACACGAATCCCTAAACCCTAAACCCTAAACCCTAAACCCTAAACCCTAAACCCTAAACCCTAAACCCTCAAGTAGCCCCATCCTCCACCTGCAACTTGCGCAGCAGCCGGAGAGGCAGCAAATGGGCGTGGCCTTGCTGGGAGGCCTCCGGAGTGCGAGCTTCGGGTTCTAGGGTTTATAGGGCGTTTAGGGTTCAGAGCCTCACCGGAGGGGTCCCCGGACTATAAGTGGGTCATAACTCTGAAAACTTAGGCTGGAAGTCCTCTGGGGTTCTAGTCTAAGTACCCATGAACCTGCAGGTAGGGCTTGTGGGGCCTGTCTGAGGGGGGCGGGATTAAGTTCCCACCCGACAGCGGGCGCAGGCGTGGGCTGGCGCCACGGATCCTTGGCCCAGGCGACGCAGGAGCAGCCTGCATGCAGGGCAACAGGGCCCCCCGGCTCCCTTCGCGTGACATGCAGATCATCTCTCACGTATATAAAACAACCATATAAATATACATACATATGTATATACATATGTATATATATATATATAATATGATTTGTGTTTTCTTGTTTTTTTTTTGCATGCTTCTATTTGTTTGCTTGGTTCTTGTCTTTCTGTGGATACGTACATCTACTTATGTGTGCTAGTGTATGGCTGTTTACTTTGTGTACTGTACACCTATACATATGCACATGCATGATACAATGCTTGTACCTCTAGTTATACTTCTTGCTATGAGCATACGAATACGTATACCTATACATGTATGTATTTATTATGCCTTTGTACCTACCAAGAATCATACCAATACTCATACGAATATGAACACTAATACTAATACTTGTACTTGTGAAATACAATAACAGTTCTTCCACTTCTCCGACTTTGGGTTCGTTGTTCCAGACGTTGAGGGTTCATAATCGGTACCGTGGCACCCCTTCAATCCTTTAAGTGTTGGGGGTTAAAACGAAAAGAATACGGCCCCGCCATGATCATAGCCCCTTGGAGTTATACAGGTCTGAGACTAGTTCTGTATGTGGGCACTGGTTTTCCGGATCGCGATTCCGGGATCCAAGAAGTTCCGCGGTTGGGGGCTTTCACACTGTACCGTGCCTCAAACGTGGATCCAGAAAATGCAGCCAGGAGGTTGTGAAAAGGACCTCGCTGACGGAAAAACTTGAAGAAAGACTTGATCTCCTAAAACCACACCCGTAAGAATCCTAAACCCGTTGCCCGAAACGCCCTAAACTGTTTCCCCAGAACTGTAGGACCTTTGGGCTGGATCGGTCGCAACCGCCTGCGGGGTTTGCCTGGCAGCCGACCCGTCCGATTTCAACGAAGTAAAATCAATCTCTTCGGTGGCACACCACCCCCGTGTAGGGGGCTTAGGGCTTAGGGTTTAGGGTGCTGAGTAATTAGAATAAGGTTCTTTGGGGGTTCTTATAGTAGAACTACACAGGGACCACCAGGGAATATTAGTAGTAATTATGCTGACCCCTATATTAGCTTCCTATAACCTCCAGACAAACCTTGGCTTGGTCCTTGGTGAGTAAGTTCATGTCGGTCCATACAAAGCTCCCTCGGTTGTTTGTTGCGGCTTGGCTTGGGGTGCTAGATTTTACCTCAAGAACCCCAAGCCTCCCTTTTTGTAGGTCATTACGAGAAAAGCCCCTATAGGATTCTTAGAGAACCCACAAAGAAGGTAGGCTTTGGGTTCTAAACCCTAAACCCTAAACCCTAAACCCTAAACCCTAAACCCTAAACCCTAAACCCTAAACCCAGCTAGGGCTTCGGGAGTCGCACCCTAGGGTAAGACACTTGGAAAGCCTCTCACTACCAGGCCGAGGGCTTTGGGCTTAGGCGTTTAACTGAAGGGTCTAACGGGTTCAAAAGGGGTTTAGGGTTTGAGGTTTTGGGTTTAGGGTTTGGGGTTTAGGGTTTGAGTTTTAGGGCTTGGGCTTGAAAGGTGGGTAGTTTCAGGCTCACAGAGCTCAATCGGGCTTAGGGCTTCGGAATGTTGAAGCTGAAATAGGGGGACAAAGGTTAGCAGGCTCGGAAAGGTCGCAAAGGCTTCTTTGCCACCTGCCTGGGCGTGGGCTCCAGCAAAATGAATCATCAAAACTAAATGGGAAAGAGATACAAGAATATGAAAACACACGAATCCCGAAAAGCAGAACTACAATCGAGGGTCTGCGTAAGGCTTGGCTACATGCCAAACCCTGATTCGTCTAGCGACGCAAGACGTGGACATACCCTCCCCCAATACCCACTACATGTTTGTGCCCTGAGCCACCTAAACCCTAAACCCTAAACCCCAAGCCCTATAAACCAAATCAGAACTCCGTTGGTTGCACGGCGCTGGGCGCGGCTCTCTAAAGTGTAAGCCAGAGCTCCTAGGCCGTCCCATGAGGACCGTTGAACAAGCTAAGCCCTAAACCCTCAACCCTAAACTCTAATGAAACCCGAAACCCAAAACTTCGAAAAGCGGCAGCTACCCAGAGTTTGAATCCCAAGGCCCTCCACACAACCCGTCGCCTCATGGAGGGGTCGTTGGCGGTAGGCCGCCGCTCGTTGAAGCAGTGCTTGTTCCCGTGGGCGGAGGCCCTGGCTTGTAACTTCTGAGACCCTGAACCCTAAACTTCTGAGCCTCCTCAAAGCTTGGCTAGAAAGATGCACTGTTGCTGCCTTGCGAAGGACAAAATCAAACTTCCGTGGAAACTGAAGAACTACAATTTGCTCAAGAACCACCCGAAAGCAAATTCTGCCTTAAAAGGCAATATATGGTTATGGTTATCTCTCTTTTTTGTTGCGGGCCCGGGGGGGGGGGGGGGTCTCTGAAGCAAACGATAGGGAAGCGATTGCACGCAGTCTCTCAGGCTACCAGGTTTTCAAGGGGGCTGTTTGAGCTATCAACCCGATGAGCCCAATAGTTCTCATACCAGGCATCTTCCTTAACTAAGGGGTATGGGTCTCTTTGGAGAACAGTCCTTGTTCCCCCTTATGCTAACAGTCTTTAATGGGGATTCTAGTACCCCCTTAATTGGCCCCTTATTATCATCCCTATTAAGGACTGTTAGTAGAGGGGGGAACAGGGTTTAGGGTTTGGGGTTTAGGGTTTAGGGTTTAGGGACTGTTAGTAGAGGGGGGGAACATCTCAAAATATACTACGGTGGCGACTCTAGCTCGGCGAGCCTCAGGAGCCTCCCTAAACCCTAAACCCTCAACCCTAAACCCTAAACCCTAACCCAACAGAGGGGTGAGGTAAACCCGGAGCCCTAAACTCCACCTGGGACTCTCTTTACCTGCAGTTTAATGGGTCATACCTACTAATTTAGGGGGGGAGTTACTACTAAACTCTAGGTAAAGACCCTAAACCCTAAACCCTCAACCCTCAACCCTAAACCCTAAACCCTAAAATAGGGACCCCAGGGAAAGTTCAGGGCTTAGGATCTGGAAGTTCCGCAGTCCAGCATCCTATGCCTCAGCCACGACAGGAGAAACTAGAGGAACCAGCATGGGCTATTAGGCCTTACAATCCCCTAACCAACCTGCAAAGGGCCAATTTTAAGGGGTTTTAGGGTATAGGTAGCCCATGTAGGAAGTCAAGTCTGTGAGAACTCCATGGAAGGTTTCTGCTGCGGTCTTGTGGCACCGCAAACATGTCACGTAATCCCATGGGCTACATCGGGCTGCTTAGGAATTAAGGCCCATGGAACTCAACAACTTAACGCCCTAAACCTTACAAATCCTAAAACCTAAACCCTGAACCACATCGTTCCGAACTCCGACCCTGGGTCGTCCAGTAGCCTAGGAAACCAGAGGGTTTTGTAGGGATTAGAATGCCTCAAAAAGGTTAAAAGGTTATCTGCTCTCCTACTAAGCGCCCTAAACCCTAAACCATAAACCCTAAACCCTAAACCCTAAAGCCTAAAGCCTAAAGCCTAAACCCTAAACCCCGTTTGTTCCAAACACCACGGACCTCCGGGTTGGGTTCTGAAGGCCCTGGCCAAGTCCCCACGCAACCAAACTCTGAACCCCAAAAGGGTTTAGGGTTTAGGGTTTAGGGTTTAGGGTTTAGGGTTTAGGGTTTAGGGTTTAGGGTTTAGGGTTTAGGGTTCGACACCGTCAAGGGACCAAAGGAGGGACCCTTGCTAGGATGGCCCTTAAAACCCTCTGAAACATACTCCTGAATATGATCCTCTTAAACCCAATAAGGGAAAACATAACATGTCCCCAGGGCCCGACCTAGCTTGAAAGGGACCTTAGGGGTTATTTTGGGGGGCTACTTAGGTATATGGAGGCTATGTGAGGGTATATATGGGGGGGTTGTAGAGGGGAATAGGATTAAGGGTCCCTTCTATGGGCCCTCCTTTTGCCCCATAACACCGCAAATTCTGAAGCCTACGCCTTTTCTCCCCCCAAAGGCCGAGAAAAAATTCTGGGTTTAGGAGGTTTAGGGTTTAGGGTTTAGGGTTTAGGGTTTAGGGTTTAGGGTTTAGGAGGTTGAGGGGCCTGACGCAGGGAGGTCAGGCCCTCCCACAGGACGGAGACCATGGCAATGAGAGGCTGCCTGGAGTTCTAGGGTCCTCAAGGGAGGGAGGGTTCATGGGGGGTAGGTACCGAGGGAACCTAAGGGAAGCTTACTTAGAGGTTCATGGTACTTAGGAACTAATAATAACTGTACTTATAATTGCACTTATCACTATACTAGGGCCCTTAAGGGGCTTATTATTATAAGTACAGTTATAAGTACAGTTATAAGTGCAGTTATAAGTACAGTTATAATTGGTTAATAAGTACCATGAACCGCCAAGTGGGGAGGTTTACAGGGAGTATTCGACTCTCACACTCGCACAAGGCCCCGGCCCTGGATTAGGGTTTCGGGTTTTAGGGTGCCTGAATCAGACATGGGCCTAGGGCTTAGGGCTTAGGGTTTAGGGTTTAGGGTTTAGGGTTTAGGGTTTAGGGCTTTGGGCGTAGGGTTAGCCCTAATCCTGGCAGCCCTGATAGCCTAAAGCCCTGGAGGTTTCACGGGTAGTCACGTTACAAGTAGGGGCATAAGTACCCTAAATAAGTTTATAGGTATAGATGCCATGCTTCTATCCCTACTCAAGGCTACCCATGAACCTCCAAACCCTAAAACCCTATAACCTAAGTCCTAAACCCTAAACCCTATATCCTAAACCCTAAACCCTAAACCCTGACAAATAACTACCCATGCATCGCAGGTGGCGCACCCGGGAGCTTCGTTCTCAAGATGGGTGGCCCTGGGGTTTAGGGTTTAGGGTTTAGGGTTTAGGGTTTAGGGTTTAGGGGACCAAATGAACCCTAAAAGGCCGTAGGGTTTAGGGTCTAGGATATAGGGTTTAGCGCGCTTGTACCTTCATACGAAAGAAAGTAGCACAGGGCATGCGGCCCCAATTTTTGGGTTCACCTGGTCCTCAGGGTTTGGCTGTGTGCCTAGATAGTATGTTCTTGTGCTTGAAAGGGGTTTCTATATGGCACTTTGTGAGCCCATGTACATACGGGTACATACGTGGACCTTTCAGGGCGTGTGCAACGCCTCGAGCCGGAGCATTGTAGAGTCCTAGGGTTTAGGGTTTAGGGGACGTAGAAATGCTGACGGCATGTCGTCTTGTCGCCCTGATAAGATCGAACTCTACAGCCTGGAGCGACTGCGGTACCCAAGGGGACCTTTTCTCCTAGGTCCTCACGACAGTAAATTCCCCTGTCCGTAATCCCCAAACCCTAAACCCTAAACCCTAAACCCTAAACCCTAAACCCTAAACCCTAAACCCTAAACCCTAAACCTTGGGCGATTTTTGAGCCGAAGGGTTTGACTTGAAGAGACGAGGCAAGTTGCTCACCGGGCAAGTCTTCCAACAGGCGTGAGAGCGTCTCCTTGGCCAATGAGCCCTAAACCCTAAACCCTAAACCCCAAACCCCAAACCCTAAACCCTCTCCCTAAACCCTAAACCCTCAACCCTCTACCCCATCTTACCATCTTTTTCATAGGGAATCGGGAAGTAGGGGGCCTTAGAAACCCTAAACCATACACCCCCAAAGACCCTGCATAACCTCTGAGAGGAACATATAAGGAAGTTCTTTCCCCAACTCCCGAAGAACCACCCCCTCTTTCTTGGGCCTTCTCTTTTGGGTTGGGGGGTTTAGGGTTTGGGGTTTAGGTGTGGCAGTTAAGGTGGGAGCCGTACAAAGATTCTGCAAGCGGCTGCTGGGCCAGTCTTCACCGCTTAACTCCGAACCGCCTTCACCATTGTGCCATCGATGAGAACCTAGAAACACGAAGGTTTCAGGTTCTTCAAGCGAACTCCTCCTCTAAGCGCGAAACAACTCTTCCCCGTCAAGTGTCCTCCTGCCCTTGGAGGACCATAGGTGCAAGGAGCCACCGGGCAAAGAGACGGCGCCGCAAGAAGTGCAGGCGGACATTCGCAGCCTGCTTCGGGTTTCGACATGGGCTGGCTCAGGCAAGCGGCCCTTAGACCCCCAAAAGCTTTCTATCATAAGGCCTCTGGGCCCAAAGACCTTAAGGTAGGAGTCATTGGAGCCTCAGGGTAGGTCTTGCTGGGCTTGAGTGCGTCTCAAACGATCCATGCACTGCCAATGATTCTGCCTGCTGGCTGGCTGACTCACGCCTTCTTGCCCCTGATTATGAGAACCTAGGTTTAGGGCTTAGGGAAGGGAGTCTTTACATATGGGGAAGGTTCAGGGTTTAGGGAAGGAGGGAGTCAAATGGGGACCCCGGAATATAGCTGGCAATTCCATCGCAAGACCGAGCTCTCAGGCAGGGCAGATGTACTCCATTCTACTCTGAGGGGGACCCAATGTCGATATGCTCCGTCTCACGATGATCATGACAACAACATGGCTCCAATCTTCCCCTGGGCACAAAAAAAAGGAGAACACAAGTTTCTATGAAAAGACCCCCGCCCCGCCCCACCGCCCTCCCCCTTCCCCCCGTCCATCCTCTGTTGGGAAGATGCTCTCTGGCAGCTTCATGAACAAGTCGACCATGAGCTCTTGGCCGCTTCTGTGCAACTTCCTGACAGGTGGGTGGTCCTCTGATTCGGGTCCCGTTTAGGGGTCCTTAATGTCACGGTACGTATTCTGGGACGCCAAAAAGGGACCCTAACTTAGAGAACTGCCCACGTGGAGAGAGCGCCACCAGCCGCATGGGGTTTAAAGTTCAAGGTTTACGTCATTTTTGTTTAGGGTTGGGGTGCAGGATTTAGGGTTTTGACGGTTGAGGCTTATTGCGGGTTTGAGCTTAGGGGTAGCTTGGAATCACGTGAGTTGCATGGAGGATGTTGAAAAACGGGAGCATATTTCCATGAACGAAAGGGAACCATTCAGAGGTGTCAAGAGTCAGTCGCCATGAAAGCCTGCGCCGCAAACCCTCATCCCGGAACCCACGCTCACCACCCCACACGCGCCCCCTAAACCCTAAACCCCAAACCCTAACATGTCATTTTGAAATCATTTCCAGCACACCCCCCCCCCCCTCCCCCCCAAAAAAAGAAGTCCCAAACAGCCATTAAGTCTGGGTCGAGCCTGGGTAAGGGGCAGGTGCGTGGGGACGCAAGGGATCCATGACCTACAATCCCGACCTAACCCACAGGGTCCATGTACCCATATGGCATATACAGACTTGGGCTTTAAAGGGGCTCCTATAGATTTAGGGCCCGACTATTTACTATATAGGTGCCCGCCTCGAAACGCATCCCTGGAATTGGAGTCGTCCGCTCATCCTGGTGGCTTGCGGATTCTTTAGGCAGTGGCGATTTTAGGCTTAGGGCGTTTCGAGTTTAGGGTAAAGGGTATATCAGCTGTCACACTTAGTGCAGGCCTCGGCCGGTTGAAAGCCCAAATACAAAGCGTGCTGCTCTTGAGTGCATGAGAGAAGATACGCAAAATATACCCGGAGCCCAGTACCTTTCGCCTGAAAATCCCACAGGTTTAGGGATCCTGGGGCTCTCTGACCAAAGCCCAAGTGCAGGGCGGAGGCCCTCCGAACACGTGTCTTGATAGCTTGAAGACGCCCTCAACCCTGTTGCATCCAGGCAGGCCCTGAATCCCAAAAGAAACACAAAACTCCAAACCGTCCTGCCTGAAAACACCTGGGATGTTACAGGCCAGGAGCCCACACCCTAAACCCTTTTGAACCTGGAAGCTGCTTCATGCCCGGACTGAGGCCCTAAACCCTAAACCCTAAGCCCTAAACCCTAAACCCTAAACCCTAAGCCCTCCATCCTGGGTCTCTGCTGGCAGGCCCACCCTGGTATCTGCTCCGTGGGGCGCCAAGGGCCACCTGGGCAAAAGAAGCTATCTTGGGCTATAGACCTTAGGGTTTAGGCCCTAGTGGCACTCAACAGTCCCGTAACAATCCTTGTGGCGGCCTGGAGCTGGGATCATCTGGGATCCTGTGACAAAGATCCCCTGAGCGTAGTACTTTGCAGGCCAAAGCAGTACAAGCCTAGCAGTCTCTAGGTTCAGGTCAAAAAAGCCTTTTTTTGTCAGGAGTTTTTTTTTGGGGGGGGGCTTATAAGGTTCAGGGGCCTTTTTGTAAAGCACTAAGCCCCTAACGTTTCAGTTTTGCAGGGCTGAGGGCTAAGGGCTAAGGGTTCATGTGGGTGGTTGTCAAAAACATAATCCCTTTGGGGGGTACCCGAAATATTCGGTGCCGTATTATCATAGGGCTTCAGAAAGGGACAATATGGTTCAATAAACCCTAAACCCTAAACCCTAAACAAAAAGGGACAATAATTTTGACAACCACCCGTGTGGCTACCCCTGGGTGCCTTCACGCCACGGCCTCCGCGGCCCCTCCACGCCCAGGAGGTACGGAGGAAAGGTAGCTCTCAAGTCTGCCACCTCTCACTACCCTGGACCCTAAACCCTAAACCCTAAACCCTAAACCACAAACCCCAAACCACAAACCCCAAACCCAAACCCTTAGCACGGGATGAGGGAATCAGGGCCCTATGCAGACCCTTTGAGGGATTATATGGGGTAAGATTTGCCTTGGACACCCAAGGTGGTCCCGTTGGGTTCCAAAGACCCTGTGGTAAAAACAGATCCTATTTGCTTAAGAACCCCAAAAGCATTTAAAAAAAAAAAAATACTCCTATCTTACCCTTAATAAGGAATAACATTCTTTCATTTTTTCTGGTTCTTAAGCAATTAGTAGTAAGGGAGGAGAAGTGGGGCCATGTTAGGAGTGTCTTGAGAGAACCCTCTTGGAGGTACATCTTGGGATGCTCCCCCTTAACAGTCCTTATTTAGGGTTTAGGGTTTAGGGTTTAAGGTACCCCCTATCACAATCCCTTTTCAGGACTGTTAGCATGAGGGGAAACATACCAAGGTACATTCAGAAGGGTTTTGGGTTTAGGGTTTAAGGTTTAGGGTTTAGGTTCTCCTGTGATCAAAATGGCCCAGAAGCCCTCGGATCGAACACATTCAGAATCTATAGGTTCCCTCTGGCCACATGCCATTTGCCTAGGGTTTCGACTCTCACACTCGCACAAGGCCGGCAGGGTTTAGGGTTTAGGGCTTAGGGTTTAGGGTCGAGGGTTTATGGTTCAGCGCGACCCGAAAAGAGGGAGCAAGGGCGCTACTGTAGAGCGGGCCTCGTCTTGAAGCCTAGGTAAGCCATACATGCCTGCTTTTTCCGAGTTAGGGTTTAGTGTGGAGGGCTTAGAGTTAGTTCAGAGGTTAGGGTTTTGAGGCTTAGGGTTTAGGATGTTTGGGTTTAGAGCCTGTTTAGGGTTCAGTGTTTGGGGTGATGCTCTTAAACGGAATACCCAAACATCCTAAACCCTAAACCCTAAACCCTAAACCCTAAACCCTAGACCCTAAACCCTAAAACCCTAAACCCTAAACCCTAGCCCTAAACCCTAAATCCTTCGCCCAGTTTTGGCCTCTTCCCGCAAGCACTCGAAGCAGTTGGGCGGCCGGTAGAAGGTGCCTTGGTTGGCCCCCTTTGAGCCCCTGGGAGCCCAAATGCTCCTTTATTAAGGGAGTGGTCCTTAAGCCATAATAAGGACCCTTAGGGTTTAGGGTTTAGGGTTAGGGTTTAGGGGGATAGCTCTTCAGCAGCCCCATATGCCAAGAGACCAGAACTGCGAACAACATTGACCATCATCACGCAAGACTTGGAGGTTCGGGTTTCTGCTGAGATCCTCGCCAGCCCAAGAAGGGAACGAATGAGTCATCCCAGAGGCCCTAAACCCTAAACCCTAAACCGTAAACCGTAAACCCTAAACCCTAAACCCGAAACCCTGAACCCTAAACCCTAAACCCTAAACCCTCTTGAACCCTGAAACCCCAATGATGGAACAAATCTGACAAAACCTCGAGATAGCTCGAGGCCCCCTCCTCCTTGCCCCCAGACGCCCTTAATTGCGGAAGTGCACCTGGGGTGTGCCCCCTTAAGTCCTTAAATAGGGATTCGAGTACCCCTAAACCCTAAACCCTAAACCCTAAACCCTAAACCCTAAACCCTGAACCCTAAATAATCCCTATCAAGTACTGTTCGTAGCAGACTGCAGTTACTAGTCGGTGTCGGGTTCCGGGTTTAGAGATGGGCATACCCAAAGGTTTGCCTGACCCTTCATCAGACCTTGCACGCGTAAACCCACTATACAAAGCCCTCCGAACTTTAAAGCCCTAACTACCCCCCCAGCCATACACACGCAGGAGTCACGACCTGGCCCTACTGCTCTTCAGCTACTCCTGTGCGGCACGGCTGTCGCTACCCTAGTCTTTCATCATCCAGGTGGCCCGTTCTTCAACTGCTCCTGGACGGCACTGCTGTTGCCACCACTTGTAGCACTACCCCAGGTGACCACAGATCCATCGCCCAGGATTGCAGCAAATGCTGCATGGGCAGCTTGGATCTGTTGCACATTCTTCAGCTGCTCCTGTACGGCGCTGCTGTTGCCACCAGACCAAGTGCAGCCCCAGGTGACCACAGATCCATCGCCCAGGATTGCAGCAAATGCTGCATGGGTAGCTTGGATCTGTTGCACATTCTTCAGCTGCTCCTGTACGGCACTGCTGTTGCCACCACATTGATCACCACCCCAGGTGACCACAGATCCATCGCCCAGGAGTGCAGCAAATGCTGCCTTTGTAGCTTGTATTTGTTGCACATTCTTCAGCTGCTCCTGTACGGCACTGCTGTTGCCACCAAATGAATTAACACCCCAGGTAACCACAGATCCATCGCCCAGGATTGCGGCAAATGATGTCTCGGTAGCTTGGATCTGTTGCACATTCTTCAGCTGCTCCTGTACGGCACTGCTGTTGCCACCAAGATGATCAACACCCCAAGTGACCACAGATCCATCGCCCAGGATTGCGGCAAATGCTGCCTGGGTAGCTTGGACCTGTTGCACAACTTTCAGCTGCTCCTGCACGGCACTGCTGTTGCCACCAGGTAGAGCGCTGCCCCAGGTGACCACAGATCCATCGCCCAGGATTGCAGCCAATGCTGCATTGGTAGCTTGAATCTGTTGCACATTCTTCAGCTGCTCCGGTACGGCACTGCTGTTGCCACCAGATAGAGCGTTGCCCCAGGTGACCACAGATCCATCGCCCAGGATTGCAGCAAATGCTGCCTTTGTAGCTTGGATCTGTTGCACATTTTGCAGCTGCTCCTGTACGGCACTGCTGTTGCCACCATATTCATCCAGACCCCAGGTGACCACAGATCCATCGCCCAGGATTGCGGCAAATGCTGCCTGGGTAGCTTGGATCTGTTGCACATTCTTCAGTTGCTCCTGCACGGCACTGCTGTTGCCGCCAGATAGAGCGCTGCCCCAGGTGACCACAGATCCATCGCCCAGGATTGCAGCAAATGCTGCATGGGTAGCTTGGATCTGTTGCACATTCTTCAGCTGCTCCTGTACGGCACTGCTGTTGCCACCAACTTCATCACCACCCCAGGTGACCACAGATCCATCGCCCAGGAGTGCGGCAAATGCCGATTCATGAGTCTTTGTGGCTACAAGTGCGACCTCCTTGATATGGAGGGTTAGCGCGTCACCATTCTGCAGCCTGGCTTCTTTGATGCTTGATGCTCCATCAAGCACATCTCCAGAAGAGTTCAGCAGCCTGCCTTTGCCAACTCTTAGAGCACTCTGGGCGAACCTTTTCAGCGACTCCACAGACACACCCTCCTCCACATTCAGAGATGCCGCCTTTCCACTCAGCAGATGCACGTCCACCGAAATCGACATGATGGCCCGGATCTTGAATCCTAACGACCGAACACCAACCCAAGTCCCGCATGCCGAACCCTAACCCTGACGTAGCTTGCTGGGGTTTGGGGTTTAGGGCTGCGGAACTACGCTAAACCCAACACTCTGAACCCCTGCATGTAAACCCTAAACCCTAAACCCTAAACCCTGGCTTTGCTGTTCCTTGATCTGGCTTCCTGAGCACTTGAGTACATCCGAAACTTTCAGAAGACCGCAATGCAACCGGTGGCAAGCAGACGCATGAGCTAAAACTCCCTAAACCCTAAACCCTCTCTCTCTCACACACAAACCCTAAACCCTAAACCCTAAATCCTAAACCCTAAATCCTAAACCCTAAACCCTAAACCCTAAACCCCAAACCTTCATGATCACATGGCCATAGTTTGTCAGGTTGATTTTGTGAGGAAGGCGAGATCGTTAAAGCTGGATACACTGGGGGACATCCCAAAGTGCACCTCAAGTCATGAGCTGGGCAGGATGCCAAGACTAACAAGACGGGCATCCTACATTTGTACCTATGTTGACGGCGCTAAACCTTCAACCCGAATTAAACCCCAGAACCCGAAAGCCGAACCACTGAGCCCCAAACCTTCTCTTTGTCTTTCACGAACCCTAAACCTAAACCCTTAAACCCTTAAACCCTTAAACCCTGAAACCCTCAAACCCTTAAAACCCTTAAACCCTCAAACCCTTAAGCCCTAAACCCCAAACCCTACTCAACAACCCCTACACTAAACCCTAAACCCTAACCCTAAACCCTAAACCCTAATAAACCCTACACAGGCCCTACACCCTTCCTTCAGGAAGAAGGGGCCCCAGTCTCCGGATGCGGCCCAGCCAAGGCAAAGGCAGATCGCCAGGGCGGCGCGCATAAGGCTCCGGGGCCGGCATGGCGAATCGGTTGCTTATTTAAGAAACATCTATTTGTTCTGCTTGTTTTTTCATATTTAAGAAATATATTTGTTCTGCTTCGTGATCTTGCCTCTTGGGGGGGGGGGGGGGGGGGGGGGGGGGGGGGGGGGGTAGGGTCAAGGTTTAGGGGGCTGTAAATAGACTAAGGTGATTTGAGGGTGCCTAGGTAGTGCTTTATCATGAGCTGGTTTCACCGCTTTCTTTTTTTGGTCTTCGGCAAGTCTAGAGGGGGGGTGGGCGGGTGCTGTCCTTCTGAGTGTTGGTGTCTTTGTTTGATGGTTTTGCTTGTCGCTGTGGGGGCGATAGAATTTGGGGGTTTGGGCTCTCAGGGTTTTCAGATCCTTTGGCTCTCTGATTAGCCCCGATAGCGTCTTCCGGCCCGAGCGCACCAGTCCCGTGGTTTCGAGTTCCCTTTTGCTGTTGCGGGGCTGTTGGCGGAGGGTATACTGCCGTGTTGTACTGACTTTAAATGGGCTACCCCACAGCCCTAAACCCTAAACCCTCAACCCTAAACCCTCCTAAGAGTTTAAGCTGTCGGCTCCTATTGTTGTAGTTTCCACAAAACCCAACAGGTTAAAGTCCTAAGAGCCAGCCAGAAGAAAGCCAAGGTATGTAACTAGACCCGGGAGCAACCTAGGAATAAAAAGGGTGCCCTTTCTGGGCTTTAAGGGGAATATAAGGGAACCCTAACCCTAAAAAAAGGAAACAAGGGCCTACTCCCGGTCCTAGTATGGAAGGAGTACCTCGAGTTTGTGGTTCAGGATCTCGCCGTTTCACCTAAACCGCAGAGTGCTGCCGGCTGCGTCCTTGAAACTTAGACCCTAAACCCGACCCAGCAACTCCAAAACCCCCTTAACTAAGGAATATACCCTTAAATCATACTAGGGTTCCTAGTATAATTGAAGCGATATCCCATAAAGGAATATTCCTTAAATTCATACTAGGGTTCCTAGCATAATTGAAGCGACATTCCTATAAACAAGGGGTGGTGGAGTCTCTAGGTAAACCGCCTCGACGCGACGCGGCATACGCCTCAGCAGAGCTGTGTACAGCAGCGCCATTCCTAGCCCTAAACCCTAAACCCTAAACCCTAAACCCTAAACCCTAAACCCTAAACCCTAAACCCTAAACCCTAAACCCTGAACACTACAGACCCTAAACCCTAAACCCTAAACATTGAACCCTAAAGGCCCTATACCCTAAAACCCGAACTCCCAAAACCCTAAACCCTAACCCTAAACTGGCCCTAAACCCTACAACCTAAACACCCTAAAACGTAAGCCCTAAACCCTAAGCCCTAAAAACCAAAAAGCCCAACGACGTTTCTTCCTCAGCTTTCAGTCGGCTCTTCCAGGCCTCCGGTGAGATCAAAGAGGCGGAACTCCTCAAAAGGGCTGAGGATCAGGCGGTGCAACTCGCCCTAAACCCTAAACCCTAAAACCCAAACCCTAAACCCTAAACCCCTAACCCTAAACCCTGAACCCTAAACCCCCTTCGACCCAAACCCCAAGTCCTTAGTGTAGGATTCATGAACCCTAAACCCTTGTGAGCCCGGGCTAAAACCCGAAACTCTAACCCCTGAACCCTGAACAGCGGACCAGCCTGCGAAGCCGTTTGATGGCTCAGGGATTCAGGTTTGGGGTGTGAGTGAGTACAACCCTGAACCCTACACCCTAGACCCTAAACCCTAAGCCCTAATCCCACTCGACCACACACACAAAGCCACTTAGCACTCCTCGATGTCAGCCACCTCGCCATCGTCCAGCTCATCAACATCCGACTCCAACTGGCAGGATGGCACTTTTAGGGTTTAGGGTTTAGGGTTTGGGAATTCGGGTTTAGGGTCTAGGGTTTGGGGTTTGGGGGTGTAGGGTGTAGTGTTCTAGTAGGGCTCTTGGGTTTTAGGGGGTTGCTTTAGCTCTGGATGTGAGTCGGCCATAATTTTCAGAACTGACCACATAGAGGAAAAGGTTGCTCGGTTTGTGTCGTTTGCAATGGACCACCGAACGAATCGATCGGCCCCCGCCGAGAATTTGGTCTTAATACTTCCGACACACAAACCCACTCAACTGCTGCTCCTTAAGGGCCAAATGCACCCTAAAACTGGAGTCATATTCCCTGACTACTATAATTCCCATTAAGGTACATGAACCATAAACCCTTTTAAGGGCCAAATGCTCCCTAAAATTGGAGTCATATTCCCTGACTACTATAATTCCCATTATAAGGAATACCCTAAACCCTAAACCCTAAACCCTAAACCCTAAACCCTTTTAGGGCTCATTTCGTCCCCAAGGTCCAAAGGCACAGAGCGCGGTGTGGGGTTTAGGGGTCCGGCGCTTAAGGATTCAGGGGCCCCTTGGGGACGAAAGGAAACCCTAAACGCGTTTAGGGTTCATATTTACCTTAATGGGAATTATAGTAGTCAGGGAATATGACCCCAATTTTGGGGTTCATTTGGTCCTCTTAAGGTTTGGGGGGGTTGTTTGCAAACGCTGATCGCTGGCCCTAAGCCCTAAACCCTAAACCATAAACCCTAAACCCTAAACCAGCCTCCCGCCAGCCGGGCCGTGCCACAAGTTGGCGCAGTTCGCCAGCCCGGCGGGCATCCTGATGACTGGATGAAAAATAACCTCCTTAAGGACCAAATGAACACCAAAATTGGGGTCATATTCCCTGACGACTATACTTCCTATTAAGGTAATATGAACCATAAACCCTTTTAGGGTTCATTTCGTCCCCAAGGCTTCAGAACCCCTAACCTACTTTTGTTGGTAGGCTGTTGCTCTTAAAAAAAAAAACATGTTGTGGGCCCTGAACCCCCGAAAAACCCTAACCTTAAAAACCCTAACCTCTCAATGTACCTCCAGCACACCTCTGAACGCTGAGGACAAACAAGCCCCCCCCCCCCCCCCCCCCAAAAAAAAAAAAAAAAAAAAAAGAAAAAACAATGCCTACAAATCATCCCAGCGGGTCTGCGGCGACATCAATGCAAACTCAACCCAAAACCCCTGCAAACATCTCAAAGCAGGGTTTAGGGTTGAGGGTTCAGGAAGTAAGTGACTAAGGCCCCTACAACAACAACTTCTTAAGCAACTCGACACGCAAGCCAAGCTAAGTTCGACAAAAAAACCTAAACATCGTGAACTCCTAAACCTAGAGCCTAAACCCTATATGTATATATATATATATGGACACACACTCACCGCAAAAACCCTAAACCAAAAAAAACAAAACCCTGAAACCCTATAACCCTAAGCCCCCTAAAACCCTGCAACCCCAAGCCCTAAACCCCTAAAAGTCTAACCCCCGAAAGCCCCTGGAAACCTAACCCCCCCTAAAGCCCCTCAAAGCCTAAACCCGAAAACCACAAAAGCCTGACCCCCCTAAAGCCCACAAACCCCAAACCCCCTAAATGCCCCTCAACCCTAAACTCTGTCAAACCCTAAAAACCTAACCCCCTGAAGCCCCTCATTAAAACCTAATCCCCCCTAAATCCCCTCATTAAAAACCTATCCCCCCCTCATCCCCCCTAAATCCTCCATTACAAACCTAACCCCCCCCTAAAGCCCCTCATTGGAAACCCCACCCCCCCCCCCCCCCCCCTAAAGCGCCTCATTAAAAACTTAACCCCCCTAAAGCCCCTCATTAAAAACCTAACCCCACCTAAAGCCCCTTATTACAACCTAACCCTCCCAAAGCCCCTCATGAACAACCTAACCCCCTAAAGCCCCTCATTCAAATTCAAAACCTAAACCCCTAAAGCCCCTCAAAAAAGCCCAACCCTCCCTGGGCCCCTGCTTATCTGCACTTTAGTAGTAACTAGGTATAACCCATTAAACTGTAGGTCAAACATTCCCGGTGTAGGGTTTAAGGTTTAGGGTTTAGGGTTTAGGGTTTAGGGTTTAGGGTTTAGGGTTTAGGGTTTCGGGAGGGAAAGCCCCTCCGGACCTCCTCCCGCGAGAGCCGCTGGAGCAGCCGAAGCGGTCGTGGCGCGATTTGGTGGGGCCGGCGCTCCTGAGTCGGTGGGTCAAAAACCCTTGAAACCCTAAAGCCATTACAACCCTTTAGGGTTTAGGGTTTAGGGTTTAGGCTTTAGGGTTTAGGGCTTAAAGTTTTAGGGAACCCTGAATAAACCCTAAGCCCTAAACCTAAAAGACCTCAAAGCCCGAAACCCTTAAAACCCTGAAGCCTTGTGTTGTCTGTGGGCTTCACTAAAGCCCTAAACCCTTAAAACCCTGTCACCCAAAAAAGGTTGTGTCTATTCAGGCAAGGATCCACGCGCCGTTCCAGCCATTCCTCCCCAAGGTCCTGCCGTGTATAAGGGTTTAGGATTTAGGGCCATCCACATCTTTCCACATCACGGGTGCGAGGGTTTGGAGCTTAGGGGAAGGTGCGGGATTTCGGCTCATGCTCAGGTGAAGGAAAAGCCCTGGATGCGAACTTTCCTGCCCCCAACTTTAACACGAAGTGCTCTTGACAAAAGGCTCCGAAAGCCAAGGGCATAACCCTAAACCCTGAACCCTAAACCCTAGCCCTAAACCCCAAACCCTAAACCCTAAACCCTACAAGGGGCGCAGGGTCGGGGCTGAGTTCAAGAGCGCACCGCGGCGCCAAGGAAGCCCCAAAATCGCCTTGAGAGCTAGGTAGTCAGGATGTGGGTGGTTCTGTAAAATGGGGTTTAGGGGTTTTTAGGGTTTAGGGTTTAGGGTTTAGGGTTTAGGGTTTAGGGTTCAGGGTCCCCTACACAGTACGGCACCCTCGAAATGAGGACCCCAAGGGGCACCCTAGTAGAGAGAACCACCCATATCCATTCTGGAGGTTGAGACCTTACATGTTAAACCCTCCGCGGTTTAGGGTTCTTTTAGGGTTTCCCTAAGGCTCCAGGTATACAAATGATACCTACATTGGGGCCTAAAGTCTGTACATAAGACCTACTTTGGGCTATTTTGGAGCCCTAAACCCTAAACCCTAAACCCTAAACCCTGAACCCTAAACCCTAAACCCTAAACCCTAAACCCTAAACCCTAAACCCTAAACCTCCAAACCCTAAACTTTGGACGCCCAGCGGGATCTGGGGCTCTGCGTAGTTCTTAGTTGTCCAGTATCCTTGAGGAACTAAAGGTTAACCTTTGGGATTATGAAGGGAAGATAAGACCCCAACAAAGGGCTAAAGGTTACCTACTGTACTACTAAGAGTTTTTAAACCCTAAACCCTAAACCCTAAACCCTAAACCCTAAACGTTCGACCTAACAGCCCTGGGCCACACACTTCGACAAGCTTTTCTTGCACGGCGAGGTTTAGGGTTGAGGGTTTAGGGTTTAGGGTTTTGGGGCTTTGGGGGATCATGCCATGAAATTGCCCGGATCAGGGCAGCACTTGGCAGCCGTCGCACCTCAGCGAGATCATCTTCGGGCTTTAGGGTTTTAGGCGCATGTGCTGTGGCAACATCCTAAGGTCTCAGGGTTCATCAGGGTTCGCGTGGCAGTTGATTCCCGACATGTTGATGATGGATTCCGTGTGTTTGCTTTACACAGAATAACTAGTTTCTCAAGCACCTTGGGAAAGTAGATTCGCTAAACCCTGCGCCCTAAACCCTAAACCCAAAACCCCAAACCCAACCCTGAAAAAGCAATAAAGGCCCACTCTGGGTCCTAGTCATCTTAAGGCCGTAACTGATGCACTCGACCGCTCCTCACCACGGAACTCTTCAGCCTCCTAAACCCTTTGCTGATGCATAGATTGGTTAAGGTTTAGAGTTTAGGGTAAAGGGTTCAGGAGCGCCATGACCCTTTTGAACCCATGACCCTAAACCCGACACCCTTTTTTCGCATCCAGGTCAAACCTCCCGAAGCCGGCAAATCCCCTAATGCCCGAAACCCTACACCCTAAACCCTCAACCCTAAACCCTCCACTCCTCCGTCAGAGACACAGGGGCCGGGCTTCTCAGGGTGAACGCCATTTGGGGATGACGTTGTCGGAGTCGCAAACGTAGAGGTGGTCCAAGAATCTGCGTTTAGGGTTTAGGGTTTAGGGTTTAGGGTTTAGGGTTTAGGGATTAGGGCTTCGCAAGGGGTATAAGGAGGCTTCTAGGGCCCTTCGGGATCCTTCCTCGTATTCCCCTATATTTTAGGGTTTAGGGTTTAGGGTTTAGGGTTTAGGGCTGCTATGCCCTCGTCCTCGAGCTGAGATGAGGGTTTGGATCTAGGGTCTTTGGCCTTAGGGCCTTAGGGTTGACAGGCCACCGCTCGGCCGGGTGACTCGTTTCAATTTCTCAGGGTTTAGGGTTTTCTGGTTAAGTTTGGGATGTTCCACTTATACTAACAGTCCTTGATAAAGGGTACTCCCTATGAAGAACTGTAAATAGTCATCCTTGGACACATAGAACTTGGGTTTCCGGGGGGGCGGGTTATCTTTTCGGGGCTTTTGGGCGTTTCCCACGTTTTTTTCGATGAACCCATACATAGAATATTCGAGGAACCCATAGAGTCTTTGAACCCATACATCGAACATCAAGTTTTAAGGTTTTAGGTTTTTTTGGGGGTTTAGTGTTTAGGGTAAGTTTAGGATTTAGGGGCAGCCTTCCACACTCCTTTATAGGGCTCGGCGGGTAAGTATATGGGTGGCTGTCAAAATTATGGTCCCTTTTTGGGTCCCTATGACAATACGGCACCTAATATTTAGGGTACCCCAAAAGCGGTTCATAATTTTGACAACCACCCATATATATGGGGGAACGCCGCCACTCCCAAACTTATGTCTTTGTGGATCGCAGTTCACGCAATGTCAAAAAGCTTGAGCCCCTTTAGTCCTACCCATTGGGGTGTGTTGTTCCTCGCAGTTGGGTTTTTAGGGCTAGGGTGGGGGGGCAGTCGAAGTGGTGGGAAAGGCGCGGGGGAGAGACTATGCTTTCTAAACCCTAAACCCTAAACCCTAAACCCGAATCTCATGGCTTCTTTGCAGTCACTGAAACCCATCCTTCGCCAATAACCAAGGAAGAAAAAAAAGTTAACCTACTAAACCCAATCAGTTTACAGTTCACCTGTTGGCCCAGGAAGAACTTGCTTGGAGGTTCATGGGTAGTGATAAGAAGGGTTATAAGTACCCTAAAGAGGGTTATGAGTATAGCTGCCATACCTACCCATGAGCCTCCAAACCCTAAACCCTAAACCCTGAACCCTAAACCCTAAACCCGCTTCTAACAAAGAATGGGCTGCTCTTGGCCCGAGGAGCCGTCCATTCTGCTCCAAGACCCAACGGCCATCAACCTGCCTGGCTGGGTTTAGAGTTTAGGGTTTAGGGTTTAGGGTTTAGGACTTAGGGGTTTAGGGTTTAGGGGTTTAGGGCTTAGGTACATAGGGTTTAGGGGCTTTGGGGGCGGTTTCGCTTTGAGGGCAACCCCTAAATGCTGAACCCTAAATCCCAGAAGCCGTGTAAAACTGGACACCCTACACCCGAAAGGCCCAACACCTACACCCCGTGCGACTAGATCCAAGAGTCACCTAGGAATAAAAAAGGTGCCAGAATGAGGGACGAACTTAAACTTTAAGAAAAAGGGAATACGGCCGCAAAGTGTTTTCTGCCACTTGCCCCGCTTGCCCCACTTGGTCTTGTCCCCTGGTGGAAAACGACATTTGCCCCACTTGCCCCACTTGCCCCTCGCCCCTGTGTGGGCCGCGAAGCGATGTCTGCCCACTTGCCCCGCTTGCCCCGCTTGCCCCACTTGCCCCACTTGCCCCACTTGCCCCTCTTGCCCCTCTTGCCCCTCTTGCCTCACTTGCCTCACTTGCCCTTGCATACCTTCCCCCCCACTCCCCAAACAAGTCTGCCTCAAAGACAGCCCGGACTAGGCAAACTTGTGGTAGGGGCAAGCACGGGTTCTGTGGATGCCACTTGCCCCACCGGCCCCACTTGTTCCCGTGCCCTGCAATCTTCCCCCAAGTGGCGCAAGCGGTGCAGGCTTTTTGACTTTTTTTGACTTTGAGACGCAGCCAGCTTCGGGGTACAGCTAACTTTGCGTGCGCTACACCTGTGAGATAGGTCGGCTCCTCTGAGGAGCAATGTACACAGAAACAGCCCGCAAGCCCAGTGACTGTAAGCGGTGCAGGCGGGGCATTACAGGGGCAAGCACCGACTCGTGGATGCCACTTGCGGGGCAAGTGGGGGCAAGTGGGGCAATATGAATTAGCTCTTCCGGCCCACCAAGTGGGGTGAGTGCGGCAATATCACTGAGCGCTTCCGGAAAAGCAAGTGGAGCAAGTGGGGCAACGACAGTCAGTGGCCACCGTGGGCGCCCGCAGTGGAATAAGGGCCTATTCTGGGTCCTAGGAGTGAAGGTCACGTGCCCCTAAGTGTGCAGAGTTAGGGTTTAGGGCTTAGGGCTTAGGGTTTAGGGATTCTTCTGGAGGTTAAAGGGTTTGGGAGAAGCTTGTGTATAAGCATCTGTTTTTCTGGCACCTGGACTGAAGGCAAGCCAACTCCCATGCTAAGCCCCAAACCCTAAGTTCCAAGTTTAGACACATCAGGCGCAAGGTGTGACTCATTCTTGCTTCCAGCGTGTCGAGCTTGTGCCAAGCCTGCACTACACAATCAAAAGGTTTAGGGTTTTAGGGATTAAGGTAACCCTAAACCCTAAACCCTAAACCCCAAACCCTGAACCCTGAACCCTGAACCCTAAACCCCGTCCTGGACCGCCCCCTTGCCCAGCCCGAAACTCGATGCCCTAAACCGTGTAGGGTCAGAGAGTTACGATTGAGGTTCGTCCGTAACAAGGCATACCTCTCCACCCTCGCCCCCGGAAATGTCGAGAGCCAGGCTCTATATCCAAGCAGCAGGGGAAGCTCCGACTATACTTCCAGCTGGCACGTAGACAACTTCCTAAACCCTAAACCCCGAACCCCAAACCCTAAACCATAATTTCAAACCCTAAACCCCAAGCCCTAATTTCCAACCCTAATTAAACCCCAAACCCTAAACCCCAAACCCCAAACCTAAAACCGCACACAGCTCTCACAGCTCACGCCTCAGGGTAAAGGTCCCGAAGCTGCCAAAGTTGATCGTGGACCCGTCCTCAGAGTTCGAATTCTTGAGGCTTCTGGGTGAGGAAGTAGGGTTTGGGGTTTGGGGTTTGGGGTTTAGGGTTTGGGGTTTAGGGTTTAGGGCGTTTAGGGTTGAGGGCACCAGAAACCCTAAGCCCTAACAAGCCCCATACCCATGCAGACATGTGAATACCGGGATCCAGTTGCGGGGCCGTAGGAACCTGTAGGGTTTAGGGTTTAGGGTTTAATTAGGGTTTAGGGTTCAGAGTTTC